AGTTGCATCAAATGCTTCATGATACAAGGACAAGTTATTTAAAATCTAGGGTATGCTTTGTCTTCCCAATCGACAGTGTCATGATTACATTTTTTATTTTAGCAGATGCTTTTGTCCGAAGTAACGTCCTTTTGTTTCGTGAACACTGGATCAAACATTCCCTGAAGAAACAAGGGTTTAAGGGCCTTATTGAAAGGCCCAACTGTGAAATCAGTCTGCCAAGCTTGGGATTTAAACCAACAAGCTTGTGATCACAGAAAAACCACGCCAACCCACTGAGCCACGCACTACCTCCATGATTGACTGAAAGATAGCACAGTCAGGGAGGGGTTACCACAGCCTAAGGGTCAAAACTGAAAGTTGCAGGAAAGGATTCTGCCCTCAGGCTGCTCGTATTCTGAACAAGGACTTTCTAGAGCTAACTACTCACTTTATGCACTTTTATTGTACCACACTATAATTACAGATCTTATAATACTGTTGATATACTGCTCTTTATTTTCATGATCTATTTTGCAGACTTTTAATCTTCATTGTTATTTTTATTGCTATTTTATTCTTATTTCTTCTTTTTACAGTATTTTTTTCCTTTTTATCACAATCCGGGAAGTGGGTGGAAAAGCATTTCACTGCACAGCAGTACAGCGTATGACTGTATGTGACAAATAAAACTTGAAACTGAGATTTGCCAAATAACATTAATTTCACAATTGCATGTTTCAGTTCTAAGAAGTGATGAATACCACAGAGGATAAAGTGATTTGTGATCGCTATTTGGGCACAGAGAAAGGGAAGAGTTACCCAATGTCCTTACCACAATATGTGACAGACTGGCTGTGAAGGTAAAACCCTTTGATGAAATACCTTTGCTGGACATGTGAGCTCACTGTTTGTCCTCCTCTAGCTATCAAAGAACACAGGTGAGCCAAGGAGTGACATCACCCTAAAGTGAGACAATGGTTGCAGTGACAAACGCTTACATCATGGTTCCCCTGCTTAGTTAACTGTGGGTGGTTAACACCTAGATCTGCAGTTAGCACAGGACACTTTAGCCACTTAGCCTATTGTCTTCTCCTTGGCCGACAGGACACTGGTTCAAATTCTACTAAGGGACAGGTCAAAGGCTCATTCCTGCCTTTATGGACCAGTTTTTACCAGCTTGTAATGTGAATTTAAAGATGATGCCTGTAAATTTCAAATTCTCTAAATAACTCAGCAGTTTCCAAAACTCAAAGCGATAATTACAATTACCCACAAATGTTAAAAGTTTAAAAAAAATCATTATCCTTAGCTGTCCTTGGTAAATCAAGTTACTGCCAGATGTTATTGGTAGGTTTTGAGAATTCCTAAGCTAACAAATTATAGACTGAATAATTCTGACATGACATGAATACCCCAAGACAGTATCAGTAGCTTCAGAATACCCCTACATTTAACCTGCAAATTAAATCAAATGGACTCTATCCATGGGCCCTGCATTGGGCTGGCCCCCCATCCCGGGTTGTTCCCCGCCTCGTATCCATAGCTTCCGGGATAGGCTCTGGACTCCCCGTGACCCAGTAGGATAAGCGGTTTGGAAAATGGATGGATGGATGGACTCTATCACTCTCTCATGTGACAGCAAAGAAAATCTTGAGTCTCCACATGATACGTATGTTGCTGAGGTTTTGGCGCTTCATCTAATTGGATCATAAAGCACCAGAGACTCCACAAAGGGTCATGAGTGTTTGGGGTAACCCACGTTAAGCCATGGAGCTGAAGATCACAGCATTGCCAGAAGGCCGGAACCTTTCAGAATGGGGTGGGAGTGGGGTGTGGGAAGGGCGGACACAAAGATAGCTTACTGTAACCACATTTACCAGTTTCTGCCAATACCAGTCTCAGCCAATTACCCAGTAACATCTCCCTAGAAGCACTGTTCAGAAACAAACAGTGAAGCAAGAAAACCTGCCCCCGCCCCCCCATGTATAAACTGAAAAGGATGATGGGTCGCAGTCTGGGGGGCAGCTCAGCTCCAGAAAGTGCCTTAATAAGCAGTGCATAACTTCGTACTAAAAACAGGCAAGAAACAAATTATGTTTATTTTAGGATCCGTCTGCTAAAGTCAGAACCATCTTTTTTTATTAACGTGGCCTCTTTCCGCACGGGTTTCCACATTAAATGCTAAACAAATGAAATTATAGCCATTATTTTTATTCACTGGCGAGGAAACCTACATTTTAAAGGAGGTTTTCTTTCACTGAACATGCACGTATTACCCCGTCCCCACGAAGCAGAGGATCGAGTCAGGGATCAACTCTTCTCGACAAAATGGGTTTCACCGAACCCCAAGGTGGGGGGCAGATATCACTCCTTTAAACCCAGAAAGCCTGAGAAAATCAATCGTGAACAAGGAAATTGGAGCAAAGGGTTAAATTCACCAGTTTGTGGGTAACCACTTAACCAGCAATAATGATGCTGGGGCACCTTGGGTGAATCATTTCTAGCTACTTTTATATTGTATCCATGTGCACGTGGCACTTAAAAAGCTACTAAGACTTGTCCCAACTTGCCGAGATGCTGAATAAGGACAGGAACTGCTGTACTGAGCGGTCAGTCATGACCAAGGTTCAACAGGCAACCTAATGCTCCTTCAGACACATTAATATCCATGGAGGTAGATGTCAGTAAGACTTGGCCTAAGATAAAGCAGGAAAACGGAATAGCAGGAAGATTTGATAATATGCATGATAACCTCTAGTGATATAAATGTTCAGGATAACTGAAATATTATGATATTCTTTCTTTTTATACCCACCCACTGATTTTTGGTTTCCTGTAGGCTAACGCTTCTGTAGGCTAACGCTTCTGTAGGCTAACGCTTCTGCTATTTAGGCAGTGTCATTATAAAATAGAATATTTAAGCCAGAGGCCGTGAGCACAGCTACAGAATCAGCAAACAGTACAACCTTAGTGCTCTCTTGCTGCACCTCCTACAGGCTACAGTGCAGGATAGGCAGGCTTGTGAGAAACATTACTTCTGGGTTTCCATCGTGAATGGGGCTCTTCACTGTAAGCAGAACATGACACAGGGCTACTATCAGGTTGGAAATGCTCAATGGCTTCCTGGGGCGGTTTATTTTATAACTCATGAGCATCGACACAGGCATCAGTGTCCGTCAGACATTAATCTAATGTTGAATAAAACATGATGACCTTCTGGGTGAAGTGTAAGCGACACTCTATGAGTTCTGAGATTCCGACAAGTCAAGGTTGTCATTTATTGTTTACGGATTTTAAGATGTCTTCAGCTGAGTGCTAGAAGTTTACTTCTGAGTGTTAAATTTAAACCATGTAGTTTAGGTTTTATAGGTGTGGAACCAACCCCCCAGTATCGTGTTATTGCTATCGCCTATGACGTAGCGACAGTCTTCATGAAACTGGAGGTGCTCCGTGATGGGGCTGTGTCATCACCCCGCCCCCCCGGATTAGAGTTTCCCGGGAAATGGCCAAGGGCCGACGCAGCTCATCAGGTTTCTAATGACGGTCATCCATAATGCAGCGTGGCACTCTCAGGGGGGCGTCGAAAGCCGGGCCGGGGTCAGACGCGCACAAAACGACGCTACACGCACACTCTTTAATTCATGTCACCTTCAATTAACTGTCGGGTTAGAACCAAGAGCAGGCACCTCCCTAAAACCTCTCCTGGCCTATCGGGTCAGCTGGCTCCTCCCTCGCAGAAGCAGAGGAGGTGGAGGTGGGGCAAGCGGGAGGCGAAGCTAGTGTCACCAACTGAAAGAACATATGGATTGACACACTGAACTGATGGGGGGGGGGGGTAACACTGGCCCTGGGGAGGCATGGAATTAGCTTATTTATGCATAACCTCTTTGTTTAGGTTAACACATTATGTGGAAAGTTGCTCATTTCATTAAAGTTTCAGTCAGCCTCTAATAAAATTACCGCCAATTAAAAACAAAAATTAAAAGCACTTTTTATTTTTAACTAACATTACATAAAATGTCTCTTAAGTATTTATTCTGTAGATCTTCCTGATCTAAATGCATATCCTAACACAGTAATCCTGTAGTTTAGTTGTGTGTATTAATATAAGAGAATTGCGTTTAAGCTGCTTTATAGTAAACAGGATATTTTAAATTTACACAAGTTGACCCTGTCTATGGTTTCCTTTACTGGTACAACCGTAAACCCTATCGGAACCTGTCTTGACAACATTTTGGACAGAGGTTCGGATACACTGCTATTCTACAACTGCCTGTGTCCTACAGTACCTCACCGCCCAACCCCTCTGTTATATTAAGCGAAGCTTATTTAGTATTTTCTTTATTTCTTCCAATCACATTTACTGTCGTAAAACTTTATTGATTCTTTAGAGTAACTTTGAGAAACATGCAGGGCGAACGCTTATTTCATGTTATTTTTCAACCCGTAAAAACCAGCAAAAAACAAAGAAATAAAACTGTATTATCCTGTAATACAGATCAGCAGGGTAGCTAAAGTAATGCCCCACCCATGACAAACATATTTTTTCGGGAATACGACGGCAAAAATCATATTACAAAATAACATAACTTCTAATAGTTAGGCCTAAATTAACTCTTTTGAATTAATCAAATCGACAAACTCGGAACATCAGAAGAATTATTATAGGAACGGTATCCCATAGATTAAATGAAAGAAATTTTAATTACTTTATTATATATTTATTTATTTGTTTGTTTGTTTGTTTAGAACCGACTGTAATTCTCGTTACTTAAGGTTATAAGTTGGACAACACCACCTCCTATCGGTGGATGTGTTCAAGGCCGATGTCATTATGAATGTGTAGAGTTGATTTTCCCTGTTCTTTCGCCCAAATGTCAGTCATAAAGTGAACATGTCTTCAGTAATAACTGTCTAAATCAGTCAGCTACACATTTAACGCTCAGAAATATGAGTATTATTGCACAGACCGGAGCCGTCAGGTGGGTGTCCAGCGTATAAACCGCCCAGCTCGTGCTTGCTCTCCGTCCACTGACAGCCTGGACAAAGAAAGGCTGCGCATGCGCAGAACGGACTGCGCCCATAGCGACCGGTAGCATCATGGACGACTTTCAGAGCGGAGAGGAGGTAGCTCTTTGCTAAGTTTGCTGACGAACGGACAGTAGATTGGACAGTTTAGTGGGATTTGTTCGGAAACGCATTTAACGGCAGCCTACATAAGGATTTCGACTTTTGAAAGTGTTGTGTAAACGGTTGTTCTGCTGTTTTTTTGTGAATACCGACTGTCCCCATGGAGCTGAAATAAGCTAACTTGAGATTAAAAAAAAAATACAACATACGCAATCTATCTAAATAAACTGTATGTTTTTGGAATACTACTGAAAAAGTTAGGCTATTTATTTGACTGTTTATTTCGGGGTGCTGTAGCACATATTCTTCGGCGTGTTAATGATCAAAGGAAATGCAGCTGTTGAATGTCTTCGTTTTGTAAACAGATAATCGCATTTTTAGTCAGTGTTATTTTGGCAAACTAGAGGGCATTCAAGGTGATTGTTTCACGGTAATTCATGTTTGGCTGGGTAATACACCGGCAGCTACTTAGTCTATGGGTCTGAATGGATCTGCTCATTTAATTTAGGGTTAACTAACTAACCGTCCATTAACTAACTAAATATAAATCCCGGCATGAATATACTGGATGGCGTAACCGGTATACTTCCACCATTTTAATAATTAATTGTTCGCCTGTTTCTGCAGACTGCCTTTGTCGTAGATGAAGTGAGCGCCATCATTAAGGAGGTACGATTTAACAATAATTCTGTTATTAATATTAATTGCGTATTTGCTTATTATGTTTTACCTTCATGGCATGGTTTTCCCACACCACGATTTCCTGGGAGTACATCTGTTTGTTAGCGATAGTTCTTTATTCAGATTTCCAAGACATAACCAAATAAGCAGAACTGCAATTGGGCCCCACCTCCCGCATTTGCGGCTGTCTATCGTTTGTGCAGTAAAATATGTGTAAAGTTACTGGAGCAGGCAAAGTGTTAAGGGGTATCTGCTCTCCAGTCAGTAGAGGGAGCCATAGGAGGCAATGCCTACCAGCACAGTAGGGTGAACCAGTGGACCACTAACGTGGTGGAGCAGTGTCTGAGTCAGCTCACCAAACTGGGAAAGCCCTTCAAATACATCGGTAAGCCAGCTACCACTGCAGTTTTGTTCTTCCTGGTTACTTTCAGATGTCTTTCCTTTTTACGTGTAACAGTTCTGCTTATGGATTTCTGGCTTGCAGTTACCTGTGTTATAATGCAGAAGAACGGGGCAGGTCTGCAGACTGCCAGCTCCTGTTTCTGGGACAACACCACTGATGGTATGAGGCCTGTACAGCGTGCTCGTGGTGGGACGTATGTCACGGTGCTTTTTGTAGAGCTGTACGTGCATTCAATACAACAGCAATAAGAGCCTTGCATTATTATGGATCTATTTCTTTAATAGGTGGCACAGTGCCTCTTTGGGTAGTACTGTTTGGGATTTGAATCCCATCTCCGCTATGCGTGTTTGCATGTTCTCTCTGTCATGCAGGTTTAGCCAGTTAGGCTATTTGATATCCCTTAATTACCTGTGATGGGATGGCATTTGAATAGGGATGTCCATATGTCAGGTGCTCAGTCTTAGTTGGAAGATATTTGTACTGAATGTTTTCCAGAAATGATACATTGTCACCCTTTTTAGCATTTAGGAAAACATTCTCCCGTATTAGCCATTTAACAACCCAGGATGGGGCACCAGCCTATTGCAGGGCACACTGACACACCATTCACACCTATGGATGGGGTGCCATCCATTACAATGTTACTCACACAAGTTAATCACAGATGCACATAATTTGGTAACTCCACTTAGCCTCAGCATGTTTTTGGATTGTGGGGCGTGTTGTACCCAGAGGAGTCAACACGGGGAGAACATGCAAACTCCACACACATGGAACCCTGGCAGAGACTTGAACCCAGGCGCCAGAGGTGTGAGCCGACAGTGCTAACCACTGCACCACCCCAAATTTTGTTATAACTATGATATTCATTCATACATTTATAAACTAATAGGTTTTTAATATTCCCCTGAAAGTATGTGGTAAGTTAACAGACCGTACACATAGAATGGCATGCGATGCATTGAGGCCCATCTGGATAGCGGTACACAGACCACTGCATTTACCTTTTGTGCGTGTTTTTGTTCCCTCCAGGAAGCTGCACAGTGAGGTGGGAGAATAAGTCCATGTATTGCATTGTCAGCGTCTTCGGCCTGGCAATTTAAGCCTGGGAGTTACGTCTCCACCTGTCGAATCAACTGTTTGCTTTGCATAATGATCCAAAAGTGTTACATTCACATCAGCTTGCTAAAACTCTGTCATTTCTTTATTACAATTTGAATAAATTATTACACCTTTCCCACAAGTTGTTGCCAATTTCTGTTACTGGAATCTCCATAGTGACTTCAGTTTGCTACAATCACAGATCATGAACCTTTACAGTAATTTTTACAGCTATTAAGATTATCTGGGGTTGCAATGGCAATGTAACCTTTAGGGAACAATGTCCTTTGAAAATGTGGCATAATTGCAGCATGCTGACTGTTTCCATGAAAGTAAACAGAATATTATGTACAATACAGCTTACCAAACCTATATGTGTACATATCAAAATCATACAAGGCACAATGTTTCTTCCAGACTCAGATTTTCCCCAAAAGGTGGGGGAAAACACAGGTACTGTGTAGAATTCACAACTGGCCACAAAAAATTCCCCTTTCCCCTATAAAATCTACATCAAGCTTATTTTGTAAACCGGACATTATAAGCAGAAAAGATACTGGACCGTTTTGGTATGCAGATTTGAACTTCCTCAAAGGCACCTTGAAGAGACCAACCCATACATAGCCTTACAAACCAGGCAGGAAGCAGGCCAGTGTACAAGAACCCAAAAATGGACACATGCATTTTTTTCCAAACAATAAGTAAAAACTAGGATAACAAGGATTAAACTGAGCAGAACACTGTAGTACTGAAAATAAGCAATGATTTAAGGGCAATTATACATTTCATATACAAACATAAGATATATCTGTTATTAAATGAGAAATGTCACACTTTACCTGAATGTTGCATTTAGCTTAAGTGAACAGGTCTCACACTGCAAAATTACAGGTAAGATTTTTTTTTACTTAATTTGACAGACAAAAAAATACTACTTAAAATGACTTAAGGAATGTGATTGTTTTTTTCTATTGTCTCAGGAATGCACAATAACACCCCAAACAAGTGACATTTTCTTTATAGCTTCATGCAAAACTGGGTTTGTATTATGCATTTGGGTGAAAATAAAGGAAATAAAGTGGGCCTTCAAACCAGCAACCATACTATGGTCCGCACATCTGCTGGATAGGAAGCAGAATACAAAAAAAAACTGCACGTTACTTCAACATATTTTCATACATATTTAAAACGGCAGCAGATATGTATATACACTGTACATGTTAAACTCCCAAAATACACTGACCTTTCACTTGTATTCTCATCTGTACTAAAAAAAAAAGGAAAAAATTTAAAAATGATATATAGATCTCACTCAAGTGTCCATGGTCTCCCTCTCAGTGCCCTCTTCAGCTCATGCATCACTAATACTTTTACTTACATTTAGTGGCAACTGGGTTTTTAAAATATTATGTACACATATCTATAATTTGCATTTAATTTAAACTACACACAGTATTTACACAGATGGGGTCAGGACATTTTCTCAGTAGCGGCTGTGCTCTGGAGATGGATGCATGATGCATGTCATGGCGCCGCTCACAAGTAGGGGGTGCTGGCCGCTCTCAGTCGCTGTCGGTCTCGTCCTGGTATTTTGATGTTGCCTTGATCGCCCGCCCATTTTGGAGTGGCATCTCCTCATAATCGCTCCTTTGCATGGGGAGGTAGGGGAGAGAACTACATTTTTAAAAACCACAACAGGATGACAAAAATATGGAAAGGTAAACTGAAATAAGAACGAACATGAACATACCCATATATGACTTCATCGTCCGAGTCATTCAGCATGGAAAAGGCAGGGTTATCTTTCAGTTGCGAGTCTGTAAAGGACATCATTTGTTAACATACCACAGATGGTCCATGTTTTTGCTCCCTTCCTGCTCCCGCAAAAATGTGGACTGTCTACAGGTCCCCGAGGTCTGGGTTGGGAAACACGTGATACACGGAGGAACATTCTGGGCAATGTTACCGGGCAATGTTGCTTGGAAACTTTCCCATGCTATTGGGCAACACATTTTTATTTGAAAAACTTTAAAAATCGGCAGTGGGTAACTTCTTGTGACCATCCAGATCCAGATGAGTTGCCCCTTGTCTCACCTGGCTGGCAACTGCCCAGTAACACTGCCCTGAATATCATCACCTAAGATTAACAGCACTTTGTACAGCACTCTCATCATTTGAGTTCTATGCTTAGTTACACTTTGGGTCCAAGACAAGAAGCACAGGTTGTGTTAGAGCCCAAAGGCCATGCATTAGTTCTGAAGTAGTTTGATCAAAAAAACTACAAGGATAAACAACATTGTAACATCCATATCTGACGCACATAGGTTGTATTCACACATAGGTTGTATTCACACTTACCATAGAGGGCGCTCTTTGACGGCGAGTACACAAAAGCCAGAGTGTACAGGTAGAAGTTGAGCAACCCATAGAAAGAGAGAAACTCGGCTGGTAGAAACCGTGTTAAGGAGGACACCTCCAGCACAGAGTGATCAAAAAAGAACTGAATCCTGAGATTCATCTCTAAAAAAACATCCCCCCCACCCCGTTCCAACTGAAACAGGACGTCATAGGCGAACAAGGCGCCTGGGGGAAAAAAACAGCAGATGCCTTGAAGGACAGGATCTGAAGGATATAGTTTTTGTAGTGGGTGGAGAGAGCAGCTACGAAGTTGTCCTGCAGCACCTTGGCGCCAAACCTCAAGTAGAGGATGACCATGCTAGATGAGAAAAGAGGTTCATTAGACAGGTGTGAGTGCGGAACCCACACCCAGTGCTAGGCTACAGTGTTACTCAACACAGCACCAAATGAATCGATGTTTCACTCACACAAATTGTGTGGCATGGTGGTGCAGTGGGGAAAAACCGTCACCTCATATCTTCATGACTGGGAATTTCCATCCTGCCCCAACTCTTAAGTATATGGAGTTCACTCCCACTTTAATAGTGTGTTTCTATAGGCTCTACAGCCTACTAGCTCTCTGTCCTGTGCTCCTTGTTATAGGCTCCAGGCTCCCTGTGACCAGTTACTATATCAACAGCTGGATTATAGATGGAAGATTGGGCTCACAAACAGCACCCCAGTGCGCAGGTAAAGCTTACCTGATGATCAGCACTATGAAGGTCAACGCAGTCAGAAATTTCAGCCGAAGGTCTGGCAAAACAAGGAGAAACATCTTAAGGGAGGAACATGGATTCACGGTGGATGGGACTCAAACGGCAAAGGAAAGGGAGCTCCTACCAGTGTAAGGCATGTTCTTCAGCTCTGAGCAGGCTCTGACAATCAGGAAGATCAGGTAGAGGATGTACACAGACACCACCACCAGGAAGATGATCTTCATGCCCTGAAACGGACCCATAAGGAGAGCAATTAGTAGAAGCTCAAAGCCAATGACGAAAACCAAAAAACAAAATTTACAACAGCAGCTTCTACCTTCGGTTCCCCTCTCATACATCATGGATTTCACGCTCACCTGGAAATTCCCAATGTCGACTTTGTACTGGTAAGTGGGGTCATGCAGTTCATTCACCCTGCAAAAGATGTTTTGAAACAAATTGTCATAAAACAATTATATTTCTCATTTTCAACATTTGATGTGTTGTCTTTGCTCTATTTTCAATATGGGTTTATATGATTTGTAAACCATTGCATTCTGCTTTTATTTACACTTTACGTTCCAACTTCTTTGGAAATGGGGTTGCATACAGTTTGCCACCCACCATCATCTAAGGTGTCTAGATTAATAAAATAACGGCAAGGCTCACTTTCCATCTAGTCTCCACCTTAACATGGGGTGATGTACCATAATGACTTAGCTTTAAACAGCAAAGAGTGGGCTGGGACAGTGCAACAGGCAGCCAGAAACGGGGGTGTTGACTCACGTCTGCCAGATCCCCAGTGTTATGGAGGACAACCATATCAGGCCCACGATGACCAGCTTGGGCAGATAAAAGGTCATGCACTTCCTCTCCCCCTGAAATGAATAATAAGGGTGCTGAGCATCTCTCTGACACAGAGTTAATCATCCCACGGGGTCACGACTACCCCAGGCAGCAATGTGATACCTGAACGCGGATACCGTGGTAAACACAGAGCCAGAACAGCAACAGGGCACAAAGGAACACTGCCTGGAACAGGGCGTCCAGCGTCCCGGGGAACCAGCTGTTCACCAAGAACGACAGTGGGAAGAAGGGGTCTGGGGAAGGGGACGACAGATAAGTGGCCGTTATGACAAAGCAAAGCAAAAGCACTGAGAGAACGGCGAGTTCAGCTGGGAATATGTGATGTCATCACATTATGAACTTATGAAACTGATAAACCTTGTTCTGTAAAACAATCATGAGACTTCACAGAACAGAACTGAATTACACTTGACTCCCAAGCTGTCCAGTCTGATTGGGGAGGGGGTGGGGGAGCAATTTACCATTATACAGGAGCAGCAGGGGCAGCAGGATGGACATCCACTTCTGCTCGATGCCCCAGTCCCGCATGGAGAACTTCCTCAGGGAGTGGGCGAACATGCACTGCAACACACACAGGAAAGCCCCATGCCGTTCACCAACGCTGCGGCGGCATAGCGTGTCCACGATACGTCCTCCATGTCGCCACGCTTACCGTGACCACAAATGTCAGCACCACGAAGACAAAGCGAAACCAGATCTCCACCTGGGAAAAGGACGGGTTGTAGGTCTTCCACTGCGGACCGGGAGGAGAGGAGCAGATCATCAGCGGCTAAAGCAATACAGATGGGATGCCCCCCCACATCCCCAGCACGGACCCCGCCCTCACCATGAAGGTCACCTCCCGGATGCCAAAGGTCAGGTTCTCCAGGCCTTTGAAGCTGACATTGACATGGTACCGAGTGTAATTCAGGTAGCCCAGATGCACCACGATGATCTCATCACATGTCTGTACAGGTCACAGAAAGAGACAATGAAGACGAGTACATGGCAACCAGTATATACCCAGGTACTGAAATACCATCTGAATTGTCTACAGCAGTGTTTCCAAATCCAGTCCTTGGGGATTTGCAGACAGTGCATATTTAAGCTCCCTTCCAGCTCCCGGTAGGGAGGGAGCAAAAATGTGGACCATCTATGGGTGTCTGAGGACTGGGTTGGGAATCACTGCTGTAAAGAGTCTGACTGCATACGGACACTCAAACATGCACTCTCACCGGCGGATGCACATTCACTGCCCCGCAGTGCAGGATGCGGGACTTCTGGTGAACGTTGCTGCTGATGCGGGTAACGCTGGCATCCTGCATTACCCCTTTCAACTCCACGTTGATCTCCAGCGGCTGACTGTAATCCACCCCTGTGGATAGAGGAGGGCAGGAGTGAAGCCCCGCCCAGAAAGGCGACAGCCATGACAGAACCTCCCAATTGCAAACTGGGCATATTGAGACCCCTCCAATCCAGACTCCGCCCTTGACAATCCTTGTAATGTTTCCCACTTCCAGATTAACCCTCATCAATTCTCTGCCCCTCACGAAACCAGATTCTCTCAACAGGGGCATCACGACATGATTGACTGATTGGCTGTTTGATAAACAAAAAGCATGACTTTATAAATCCCAAGCAGGAAATTCAGGCGCTTCTCTCAGCTCCATCTATCACTCCATGTTTCTGCAAAACAGGGCCTGCTGTGCCAGTTCAGGGGTGTGTGCTTCAGAACAGTGCCCCCTACAGGAATGCCCAGGAAGAATCCTCACCACTGGGATGCTCCAGCTGGATCTGACATGTGAGCCACAGCTGCTGGTTGTAGGTAGATAAAGGCAGAGACTGCAAGCTGAAAGGTCCAGTCTGAAAGTAGGCAGAATATAAATTATCCATCCATCCATCCATCCATCCATCCAACCACTTATCCAGAACAGGCTCTAGGCTCCCCATGCTCCCTACCCCAGGAAGCACGGGCACAAGGCACCAATCCATCGTAGGGTGCACACACACGCAAACTGCACACACACGCAAACTGCACACACACAGAGTGGAGGCAGGATTCAAACCCCCCCACACCTGGAGGTAGGACACAACAGGCTACCCACTGTGCTACCCAATTCTATGTTTTATATGAATATTTAAATATACATCTATAAAACATGCATACCATTTTAAACATGGTAACTATATAACAATTAAAAACCACAACATGAGTAAATATATTTGAAGTTGACAGTGGTCTGACCTTGGTATGGGAACTGTTGGTCGCACTGTACTCCTCAATTATTTTAGGGCCTGTCGATAAACAGAGAGAGAATGGGACATGAGATATTTAGCCAATGTTCTGAGGAAAGGAGTACGGGGCTGACAGCACAGCCATGTGCGTTTGTGTCGGCATCAACACAAAGGGGGCAGCTGAAAGAGCAGTAACAGATCGCTCCAATTTAAAGGAAAACAGAAAGAAAATCCACCACTAACGACCTTCCATGCCTTTAATACAGTGCAGTGTCTCTATAACTGTTTCCATTTATACCCATCATAATTATTTTTAGAATGGAGATTTTACATCCATCCATCTCCAAATCTTGGTAGCACCCCTAGCTTCTCATGAGGGATCTGCGGACATTTCCAAGCCAGCTGAGAGATACAATCCATCCAGTGTGTTCTGGACATGACCATAAGGGCCCTCTTGAGAGCTGATCAGATGGCTATTTATGATATTTAGGCGACAAGAATAAATATGGAATTTAGAATTTAATATAGCAGTATCAAATTAGTGAAAGATGTTACGTGGAGAAGACTGCGGGCGAAAAAAGGATCGGTACATTCATAACTTTATTGTTGACACTGGATGTGACACTGTCTACTGGTGTTCAGTACTCAGCTAAGTGCCAGATGGATTGCTGGATGCTCATCCTAGTGCATGCCATACTCGTTTGGGAAAAACAAGGCAGGATTCAGACTCATGGACTAGAGAGCGTGGAAAGAAGGACAGACACATCGTGGGTGAACAGGCGTGACAGCAGTCAGGATCCTGTTGAATTTTAAACACACTCTCCCAAAAATTCCACCAAATGAGAAGTCCTTTTCGACAGCACTGCCTGGTAACAGTCATCCACCCTGCGTGGTACAAAAGCTAAACAAATGCCTGTCAAATGCCTGCTTTAGCAGGGAGACACCCGGAAATGAGCAGTTTACTTCCTTTCTTAGGAAACGTGCTGCTGGTGATAAAGAGCCAGGCCTTATCGCACCAACTAGCTCCAACACAACAGATTCAATCCACCTCAAACAAAGGTCAGCCGCAGGCGGAGGCTCGGGGAGGTGGGGGTGGTGTTCTCGAGTTTCACACCAGGGGCACCAGAATCGACAGCGCACACTCCGTAATGTGTCTCACTACTTCAGGAATAATGGCTATGGGGAGATGGGGTAAAGTACACTTGAGTAATTGCTCACTTGAGCAACACAAACTCCAATCTGTCATACATTCAAAACGAACTAGGTCATAAAAAGCAGGGAGCAGTCTGACAGCGGGGGATGGAAAGAAAAAGAAAAACAAATCTAACTACACTGGAAAGTCTTTTATTAGATGAGCTGGCCTAAAAATTGTTTGAGAGCACTGAATGTTATCCATATTATCCAAAGAGACAAAACAGAGTACCTACCCGCTATACCAACGAAGACTGTCAGGCCAAAGCATATAAAGAAAACCACAAAGACGAGGACAAAATGCCGCTTGGACAGGGTGTAGAGGCGCATAGGGGCCAGCCTGCAAGAGACAAAGGCAGAAACATCAGAAACTAGTTGCTCACATTAAGACTTCGCTGTTAGCTAGTCTGAAGTGAAATTCATAAAGTGACACTATGATATTGGCCCGAAGAGAGATCATGCCTTGCACGTCTTAGAGATCTTAACTTACGCGGCTCAGAAATGTGGTTTATAGTTTTGCTTACAACGCCAAGAAATATTTTAAAGAGTACAAGACATACTATTTACAAAACGCAAGGTATAACACATAATTTTGCTACCAATCATAGATCGGCAGGAACTGTACTCTTTGATTGGGGGAATGCCGGATCACTGCAAAGTAAAGCAGGATGTTTAGTGGTTACACACGCGTATATAAACAGTCGACCGCCCATGTTTTGCTGCACACGGAGCAAAGAAACAACGAGAATGCGTTGTCCGCAGAATCTGGCTCCCCCGCGTTGTAGGGTTACTTGCGAGCAATCTATACACTCCACATAAATGCAAATAGACCCCACTCTAGATAAGACAAAGAAAATGCCAAATGACAGGCTACAAAATGTTATCTAAACGAAAAAAAACACACATATGCATCACACCTAGAACATATGGCGGAGAGGAAGTTTGTAAACTTCTTAGTCAGCTTACTTATCGGCTGTTTCTTGAAAAGATTTTTTAAAAACTAGTTTCCTACGGCGCCTCGGAAGCATCTCTAACTCACCGATCCATAATCATCGGCCCGGTGAAGTCGAAACGTTGGCGAGATGACCACCGCAGCTCCGAGCCGCTTGGAGACAAGCACGGCTACATCCGCATTCCAGAGACGAGGCGGCGCGCGATACGCAACGTCATCATCGCGGGCCCATGCCCTGTCACATGATGAGGGGGCGGGGTCGCGTGTTTGTCTAATGCTCTGCGGGCCTTGTTCATGTCGCCTGCTTTCCCACCCATGTTTACTAAATGACGAAAAAATGTAGCCCTCTTTAAATGCATCCGCAAATAACCTTCGGGAGAAGATCGGGATGCACTGTCACTGGAGCGCTTTAAGCATGTTTGGCAGCAGGAATGGTATTTTTCTAGAGCATGATAAAGTTAATCTATTATAAATATTTATACACGAATATGGTCTGTTGTTTTTTTCACATATATGAGTAGACAATGTCACGTGTCATCTGCATTCCAATCGTTAAGTAGACGTGTCATTAGTAGGAGGCTGTAACATTAGCTTTGCATTAAAATAGCTGACATTTTACAGTACAAGTAATTAACTCAATGTCAGTTGCTAAATAAGCTACTAATTCCCCTGGGATAGCAAATGGTGCTAGCAGTCTTGGCATTTTTCGATGCTGTGTTAAAAGATGTGATTCAGTGTTGTGAGTGAAAGCTCTTAATTTCATAAACAGAACCGTCAAAAGGTTTCAGCAACCACAGATAACCAGATTGTATCTCTGTAACATTTTCACTCAGTGATGTGTACATTATATTGACGTATGCTTGGTAAATCAAATGAAATTAGTAAAAACTCAAAAAAAAATCCAGGGTTCAATTCCATTCATTTTCTGATACCGCTTGCCCTATTCAGGGTTGTGGGGGGTCCAGAGCCTATCAGAACACAACCCAGGATGGGGGCCAACACATCACAGGGCACACTCACACATCTTCACACCTATGGTCAATTTGGCAATTCCAATCAGCCTCAGCATGTTTTTTGACTGTGGGGGAGGGAAACTGGAGCACCCAGAGGAAACACAGGGAGAACATGCAAACTCCACACACAGAATCCTGACAGAAATTCGAACACAGGTCCCTGAGGTGTGAGGCAACAGTGCTAACCACTGCACCACCCCAGGTTAGACTCAAACAACCAATTTATTGAGAATGACCATTGTTAGCAACTGGCCAACATATACCCTTTTGCAAATTAATTGAAACAAGTTGTCACACAGACATGCAGTGTTTCCCCTAGGTTTACAGCTTTTTTTTCGGGGGGGGGGGGCAGACGGACACCGACAGGATTCATGGTGTTCACGTGTTTCTTTTAATGACAGCAGTCAATATAACAACTGAACTAAACATCAGAACATTTCTTTTTATGACAATTATCCACAAAGTTTGCAGCTTTTGTCACTGCAGAGTATCTGAACATTTCTAGAGCCTCTTGATATGGGAAGTCAGAAACATCTGGCCCGTTTTTCGAGATCCACATGTAGGCTGCAAGATGGTCTCCTTGCAGCCTATTGCAGATGTTTATCTTGCCCTGCAATTACATTAACTGTTAGGCTTTAAAAGTGATAGCTGATAGCTTAAAATAGTGATAGTTCAAAGCAGAAAATCCCATTGTGAAACGTATTTATTACCCTGTTCATTTTTGTCTGCTTTTCAGGTAGTTGATGCGACAAATTTTCCGATGCATGCTCTCTGTGCCCTGGTGGGAGTGTGCTCACCTGTGTGTGCACGCACGTGTCCACCATGCGCGATACAGAGAGCAGAGCATAATTTTGTAGAGACAAAAATGACAAGCTGATGTGTAAATAAGATAAATAACATAAGGCTATTTAGTTTGTTTAATAAAAGGACAATATATAGACCTGTTCTATAGGAAAGGTAAAATAAAATTACTTCTGTTGTGGTCTGGCGCTATCCATCTGAGTGGAAGGACAGAGGAGGCACTGTGCCCACAGACTGGTAGGCCTGCTCGGGTGGGGTTACAGCTGGGTGGATGGACAGAGGAGGCACTGTGCCCACAGACTGGTAGGCCTGCTCGGGTGGGGTTACAGCTGGGTGGATGGACAGAGGAGGCACTGTGCCCACTGAGTGGCAGGCCTGCTCGGGTGAGGTTAGGGCTGGGTGGTATGACTGAGTGGATGGACAGAGGAGGCATTGTGCCCACAGACTGGAAGGCCTGCTCGGGTGGGGTTAGAGCTGAGTGGATGGACAGAGGAAGCACTGTGCCCACAGACTGGTAGATCTGCTCAGGTGGGGTTAGGGCTGGGTGGTATGACTGAGTGGATGGCCAGAGAAGGCTCTATGCTCACGGAGTGGCAGGCCTGCTCGGGTGGGGTTAGAGCTGGGTGGTATGACTGAGTGGATGGACAGAGGAGGCTCTATGCCCACGGACTGGCAGGCCTGCTCGGGTGGGGTTAGAACTGGGTAGTATGACTGTTCTTCAGCCATCCATATCTGATTCAAGTGAATGCTCAGGGGTTCGGGCGCCTCCACATGTTGTTATGGGGTTTTCCCCCCACAGTACAAAAACAAGTTTTTAACTGGAGCTGGCAAATTCCCCTGTGGCATGAATGTCGCGTGTGCCCTGCGATGGATTGGCTCCCCATCCTGGGTTATTCCCATACAATCTTTATCATTCCACCAGGTCCTAAATCTGGACCCAAGGTGATAAGTATGAATTAATGTGACTGCGATGTCCGTCTTAACTGTGGTCAACTGGTCTGCATATAGACGCAACACCTTGTTTCAATTAATTTGATGAAGGATGTAACAAACATCAACAAGACCAACTTCCCTTTTTGATCCCTTTTTGATCCTCATCAGTGGCAGCTCAAGGGGGGAATCATTACAGTATATAAACTCTATTCATGCTAATCAGAGAGACAAGAACATAATCATCACAGAGTTTAGGTTTCACTTTTACTAACATACAGGCACATGATTCTATTTCATATTCGGATTTAGTTATTCTCCAGGTCACTTGACTTCATGCATGTTCCTCCGAATGGTTCAATTTCTCACTGAACTAGGCCACCTGTATTCCAACATTTAAAGCACATATTCTTTGGTCTGGGTTATGTAACAAACTCCATGGTTGTTTGTATCTTATACATTCAGTAGGTGCACAATGCAATATGGTAAAGGTCTCAGTGGGCTTCTGGGAATTCAGTCCTTCCCAGACAGATTGTTGTTTGCATCCAGATAGTTGTAGCTCTGCCTCACCGCCACAAACTCAACCTCTGTTCCAGATCCAAGCACACTCTGTAACTAACATTTCACCTCATCTGTCCAGCTCCTCATTATGTATCATGCACTCTGATTCCCTTTCCAGCACCTCCTGTTACAGGTGATTCAAGGAGTACCTGTCTAGATGCCACCAAACCTTCTTACCGTAAAGTAAATCTCTGCAAATGTTTACTCCAAATTGCCCGTTCTCTACAGTTTTTGGGTTTATTGGGTGTCTAACTATCAAATCATTGCAATACACACGGGAATGACACTAATTTATGAAGTTCTCTCCTTTTGATAATGTATCAGTTCAGGGTCACATGACATTAGCATTTTACTCAATAAGTGTAGGATAAAAGGAGTAAGTTAGTGTGAACCTCCAGTCCATCGCAACACATGCTAGCACACTAAGAAAAACATACAATTACCATCTCTCCCGAAAATCCTGCATTTTCTTTGTTGGAGGAAACATGACTCAGGAGAGAAGGTATTCAAATAGCTATATAGTAACCCGCAATCTTAGAGCTGTCAGGCTTTGGCATAGCCACTGTCAGCATGTTGTCTAGTGCTGTACCTCCATCTTGACTTTTGGTCAGGACAGTAGCTTATGGATTCCATAGGGGTGTTTTAATCTGACAATTTTAGTCATTCCTAGTACTGTTACAAATATATACTTACACCCACATAAGTTGTAGGCGCTTGTATTGCAGGTATGAATATGCTTAATATTTCTTCGCGTGCTCTGCGCCCCCGAATATGTTTTCACGGTTGGTCAGCAGGCAGGTTAATAAAATGTCCGATTTTACAGGTGACACACACATACCTCTGCTTCCTAAGGTGTTTCTTCACGTAAAGCAACATGGAACGGAGTAACTCGCGACGTGCGGAATCTCTTAGTATAAAGACGATCACGTCCACCGATTTCAGCTGATGCTTTGCAATAATGCTGCTTTCCATTTATCCGAAAGATTACTCCTAATGTATTTGAGGGATTTAAATCTTGTAGGCATATGATAAAGCTAAACCTACGAAAGGTCATCAATACATTCACACTGTAGCACATACTGCGTCTATCTTAATATGGAAACCATATGCACAAACGAAAATTTGTTTTGCAGGTTATGCAATGCACATATGCATATTTTTCAAATGTTGCCAATAAACGTAGCCCTCTTTTCCAATTACACATGGATAATTTTACCTGTAGAATCGATCATCTCTGTATGGTGTGAGGTCTTCCTTTAATTCCTCATAAGCTTCTTGAATCTTCTTGCAGAAATATTTAAGGTCCCTGAAAAGCGGGTTTTCGAAGCTGGCGTAGTCGCTGTCCATTCTGTCCATGGCTCGCCCAAGTAATGGCGAAAAGGAAAGGGCTGAGAGGACGGACTGAGGGTATTCCTTTCGGTCTTGTCCGTTCGTTTAAATAGGACGGCAGGCGAACCTTTGCAACCGTGCACACGAAATGACAGACTAACGAATCATGGAGGAGACGGAAATGCCGGCGGCTGGGAGCACGGAGTCACGTGAGAGCTTCAGCACCTCGGATAGCGCTGCGACCGTTTAAAGCGTCAGATCGTTAACATGCCTGCGCGCGGGAGCCGCCCCTTTTGCATTATTTGTCCTTTGAACCGTGACTCTACATTGCGCATTGTGTGCGATCCTGAGTGTGAATGCGTAGCCTATGTGAGTGTGTGATTTACTAGCTAGATGTTCTCCTCGCTTGTCCCCTGTGCTTACAGAAATCCAAGCTCCCAGTGCCAGTGTACTGCATATGCATGCAGTTATGGATGTGTTTCCTACTGTCAGAGATCCAGTTAATTACAACGAATCAAACGATTATAAAGCTATTGACTCAAATAATAAGCTGCGTAGATGTTGATATTATAGAGCATATACTGTAGACCTATATAGTTGGGTAATGGAGGAACATGTATCCCCAATATTTAATTTAGTTTCATTCGGACCCAACCACCCCCCACCCCAAAGAAAAGAAAATATACATTTGCATTCAAATTAAGTTGTGCTCCCCCCCAGTATCGAGCTTGGTCCTATGGTCTTGGTCCAGTGGTTTCCAGCAGAGCTACCTAAACAGATCTTCTGAACACCCATCCATCCATTTTCTGCAATCGCTTGTCCAATGCAGGGTCACAGGGGGTTCAGAGCCGATCCTGGAGGCTACAGGCGCAAGGTAGGGAACAACCTAGGATGCGGCACCAACCCATTGCAGGGCACACTCACACACTATTCACTCACACACGCACACCTATGGGCATTCTGAATGTCAGCAAAACTAAAGAGCTGATAGTGGACTACAGCAAGAAGAAGCAGAGCTCCTTGTCACCCCTCCAGATCAACAGTGTTCCAGTGGAGAGGGTTGACAACATCAAATACCTTGGGGTTCTGCTCACTGAGGACCTCACTTGGCACTCACATGTCAGCACTCTGGTCACCAGAGCGAGGAAGCGGCTATACCACCTGAGGCAGCTGAGATTTAGGGTCACTCCAGTGATCCTAAAAACCTTCTACTCAGCTGCTGTGGAGAGCATCTTGACCATGAACATTACTCTAAAGGACCGCAAAGCCCTGCAGAGGGTGATCAGGGCGGCCGAGCGTCGTGTCAGATCTCCTCTGCCCTCCCTGCTGGACACCTACAATAAACACTGCAGGTCCAGAGGTACTAAGATAATTAGGACTCCTTACACCCTGCAAACTGTCTGTTCCGCAGGCTGAACTCAGGCAGACGGTTCCGTTGCCTGATGTCCAGGACTGAGAGACTCAGGAAGAGTTTTTTCCCCCAGGCCATAAGGCTTCTCAATTCAAAATAATTCTGGTCCTTGTCTACACTATGTATGTTTGTACTGGAATGCACATATACGGCACATGTTCACTTTACTGTACTAACTTTAGTCTGTACATCCTCACCATTGCACTATATTTTAGATTTTAGATAGTATATTTGGATTGTATATTTAGGTTATACACTTGGTTCCATAGATTATATTTATATATTGTAATTTTCTTTTTTACTCCTACTTTACTTCTTACCTTTTTCTTCTGTTTTTGCACAGCCAAATAAGGGTGACTCAGAGATACATTTCACTGCATGTTGTACTGTATGTGACAAATAAATCTCTTGATTCTTGAATCAATTTGGTAATTCCAGTTAGCCTCAGCACAAGTCCTGGCATGGCAGGGAGACGCAGATGCAGAGGAGAAATTATCAACCTGCACGTTTTATTAAGCAACAGCTGAACAACTGACAACTCCATTTCTAGGGAAACAAACAAAACTCAATTAAACAAAACGTTCGTTTTACAGTACAATACAAAACCTGGCACCTGCCAGTTACATTAGTTATAATTGTACCATTTTAGGTCTGCATATTGGGAAGAAAAAGGAAAAGAAAACACAAAAAGGACATTTTAGCATTCCTCTTTATCAGACAGTACTTTACAAATGGAGAAAGTCAGCATCAATATGGACACCCCACAAGAGTCACAACCCCCCTCCCCCCTTACCAGCTACAGCCTGGTCCAACCCAAGTGCATTGTGGGTAAACGGTTTAAAGACAAAGAAAACTTCTTATTCATGTGAATGACCGCTCTTCTAGTAAACTAAAAAAAACAATGTATTTATAACCAAACACAAATGCCGTTTCCAGATTTAGCCACAGCAGCCTGTGTCTTTGAAACCGACAGCAAATTCATGCTTATTACCATCCATCACGTTTTTCTAAAATAACGTAAAACATACATAACCGCGAAATAACTTAAATGGCATGCCTTATTAACACAAACTATAACATTCAGTTATCAAATCTGACAAAAAAAAAAAACTTATTTTGGTTTTTTTCAAGTATTTTACTTTTAGCCTACATCTATGAAGCACGGTTATATCAAATGAATGCCACATTCTACACTGTCCAGTACAGATTACTTCATCGGTTGGATTTTAATAAGGTAACCTTAATTCTTACGCAGCTCACCTTTTAGGCTGTCAATAGCGGAAAAAATCCAAAAACCAGTAACGTCATTGTAAAAGTTGCCTTAAAATCAAAATTATCAACCGTCATGTGAACGTGCCATATGCACTACTTAAAAATGAAGAAAAAGTAAAACGAACACTCTCAAAAAGAAAATCGTATGGTTTGGCATTCATGCTGACAAAAGCAATATATTTACTGTATATATAGATATAACACTGGGATCGGTGTACCTCACAATGGACACTAACAGACTTTACTGGACAGACAGGTCCTGTGTAACTACACTAAAGTACTACACTCAAGCACACACTGTCAACTAATTTTCTTCCTGTGGCGTCCCAATCAGTCTTACACAACAGGCAAAGTCAACCCCTCCCCCCCACATTACACTGGTAACAGATCGTTTAAACACAAGGAACTCTTCAGCAAATCCACAAATTATATACATCAACTATCATAAGATATCCGTATAAATAAAATGTGAAGACTAATATATGAATGAGATGTTCGCGTTACACGTCCACTTTTCTCCTGTAAAAAGTAGTGCCAGAATGCAACAGCAAAAGAAATTAGCTTTGTCGGAAATATTGCACAACTAAAATGGTCAATCTGGGGAACGAAAGCAAACGAACATACGGATGAAAGTCTGTCCTTTCCTCGCCGCAAAGCTTACACTGAATTGCTAGACGTTTTGCTTCATTTATCACAAACATGACAAGACTTTTTTTCTTTCCAACAAAAATTAAAATAAAATAAAGAAATCCTTCAGGTCAGCCTGATACTCTCCCACAGAATGTCATCAGAAAGCTCTTGTATGGTGAAGTACGATCCCAACACGACAGCGCACAGTTCTGCATGGAGCGACGCACAGCCCAGAAATGCACCGTGTATGCCCATCCAGCGTGCCGTGCCGGATCGGGAGTAAAACCAGCCACCACCAAACGCGCAGGGAATGCGATGCCACCAAGAAACACGCAGGGAATGCGATGCCAAAAGAACATATAATGGCACATTTTACTCGTTTACACAGGACCGTGGTTGTGGTTAGCGGGTTGAGGTTGGGTTGCGGACCTCAGTGAATGGAACTGGGTACCACATGACACGAGGGGGGGGGGGGGGGGGTCAGTCGGCATGTTGGCGATACATAAATCTATTTAAGCGCATTTCAGTACACGGCACATATAAAGATCTTTCATGCCCCTGACAGTTTTCAGCCTTTGGCATTGATTTAGGGATCATTCCCCCTGCTTTCCTGATCTCCAGTGGTATTAAAGCATGAACCTGAGGAAACAAAATGATTCAATACACCTAATAAAACACTGCGGAGTCTGATATCTCTCTGAAATGCTCCCTCGTCTTACTCCACTGTGTTTCGTTTCATTCCCCATTACCTAATAACGCTGATCTCAGATCAGGGCTCAGGGAAAAGGATCGGACGGCAAAGAACAGCCACGAATGAGTGGCACGTCATGTGACCCGAAGCGCGAGCACCTGGACACCTTGTCAGCTGGCAGCACGCCGTAAGGAACAATGTGACACATTATGCAAATTAAAAACCAGTGTTCCCGGGTAGTCCGAAACGGTCCATTTTATGGGCTTTCATCAACTGCTCTTAAGGTTTATCTCTACAGTTGTCCGTGGCCTCAATCACACATCAATTACGAACTATAAAGGTCATATTAGTTATACGTTTAACATCCTCTCAATTGAATTTCATGGGCTAGGCACATTACAATGATACAATGGTATTTGACAAGTGTTTATATGGTGAAATGACAGGTGAAACATACAACCCCTGTACCTTGCTTACATGTCAAGAAAGACAAGTCAAATGTGCCTAGAAAAAAAAACAAAATCACTTCACAGAAGTGGCAGCTGCTTAGTATCAGAAAATCTATCTCCTAATTGCTCACCTCCTCCACACAGTCCAGATCAACTGTGCACCAAACCCTAGTTTTTACTACACTTCCATCCCACCATTTTACCTTTCAAATAAAACAGGCTAATTTACCTCCTGTCTCCCCCAAAAACATCTGTAAACAAGGTACTAAGATTGTTTAATGCTACATAAATGTAAAGGACTACCTACCACTACAATTAAAATATTATGGACAATACACAATTAAATAGATCTCACTAAAACAAAATCGTGAAACGTGTTAATGTGCTGAGCTGTATTTCCAGACAAATTCTGCAAACTCACACCTTCCAAGGAAAAAAAAAGTAAGACCATCTTTGACATTACTTTCTTCTTTTTTTGTTTCAAGTACTACCCTCGGGACCTTAAAAATAATAATAATAATAATAATAAAAAAAAAACATCATGAGGTTCAGTTTCGAAAGTTCAAAATGGTTGTTTAATGTCCATCTTTGACGCTCTGCAACCACTAAACCAGCAGGCCTAAACGAAAGAATCGCTGACCCAAAAATTCTGAAAGATGCATAACGTTTCAGTTCAAAACGTGACCTGTTTAGAGTAAAGCTAAAAACTGTAACCACAACGTTCTGATATTTTCAGACAGCTCACGACTTCAGTGCCCAGTAGTACGCGTAAGGTCTGTAAGTAAGCGACTCATAATTTTCAAGTATTACTGTTTTGTGTTTTAAAAACCAGACTGAAAAAACTAACAGTATTCATAGGAAACAAATCAAATGATGTAAGGCAGTCAGTAACGAGGACAGTCTAATTCCACTGGCCCCTGTAAGCCTGGCCAGCATCTATCCGCAAAACAGCCACGGAAAGAGGAGCCTGTGTCCCACAAGGTGACCGAAAATGACACGTCCATCACCTGCTAAACATCCAAAGTACCCATCCCACACTCCATTGCAGCTTTGGGTACAGCAGCTTGGCCACAATGGCTTTTCCACATCACGGTGCCCATCTCTTCCAGCAGAAGGTGGAGGCTCACTTCAGCCGCTGGGTGACATTGGCCAGAGCAACGGCGAAGGCCTGCACGGCTGAGAACGGGTACTGAAAATCCAGGATGTAGGCATTGCCGTCGATCCTGCCGAACTGCATCACCTACAAGTGTTGAGATGAGGAGATGGAGAAACATGGTTCAGCTGGCGACTATGGTGCATGGAAAGTTCCAGGGAGATCAGTGTATATTCACTTCATGTAACAATGGAAATGGAGTTTGAAAACAAAATGTTACATAGCTGTTCAAATACTTCTTGAGGTTATCATGTTCAATGTCGTGTTTTCTGCGGTCACCCTTCCTTTTGCCGCCACTAAGCAATGTTCCTTCAGTTTTGTTATGATTTGTTTCAAAATATGATCAGTTCAAGTTTTTCACCCATAAAATGTGCCTACAAATACTTTTTGAGTTATCACGCTAATGATAGCCTGTCTCTTTGCTATCACTAGGCAGCACTACTTCACTTTTGATGTGATTTGTCTCAAAATTTGATCAGTTCCAGATATTTACCTATGCAATGTGTCTGCAAAGATAGATAAAGATCCATCAAATACTTTTTGAGTTATTAATGAGATAAGTGTCTGCACCAATGGAAGGCCAATCCCAAAGTTGTATGCAAAAAAGTTTCAGAATTTTTGACGTTTTACTATGAGTCATGGGATAGAAGATAAAATCCCCCCTTACCTGTCTTCCCTCCAGCTCGATCTGAAAGTTTTTGGCTGATTCCTGTGTGACCCTTCCCCCGAAGTCCAACTGGTAAACCTGCGTGGCTTCATTCCAGAGTGGCTGCTTGTTTGCCATGACGTACACAAAGCCTTGGCTGCCTAAGCCCCGGTCCTCCTTCTCGTTGGCCTTGCGGCCCTTGAAGTCATCCAGCTCGCTGGCCGTGCGTAGGCTGCGCTTGCTCTTCCAGCCCTTCTTATTCCCCTGGCTCTGGTTCAAGAGCTCATCGCCGCTGATGAAGAGCTCCGGCTCGCTCTCGGAACTATCCTGGAACTCATTAGTCTTGTTAAGCTTCTTGGACTTCTGTTGCTCTTTCTGGTTCTTGGGTTTCTTCTTCTCCCGGCCCAGCCTGGGGCTGGAGATGAGTGAGTTGAAGTCACCAAGCACGCGGCCCTCCTTCCTTGCCTTTCCCTCCGTAATGGCAGGCACACTGGCCTCCTCAGCACGACTATCTAGCCTTTTGCGGCTCTTCTTTCCGAATTTGTCGGATCTCTGTGGCACCGGACTCTCACTCAGGGACAGCACCTCCTGGAAGCTGTCTGTAGTCTCTGCTGCCACAGCTGCTGCTGCAGCTGCCACTGCCTCTGGGGGGCTTGTGGGGTTCGGAAGCTCAGCTGGGGGAGGTGGTGGGAGGACAGGCTTTTCTACAACCAGGTGGGACTTACTGGGCAGGGTTCCTGAGGGATTCTGCACAGGGGGGCAGGGGCTATAGGGGTTCCAAGGATGCAGGGCAATGGGGGGCAGCGAAAGAGCAGTGCAAGAGCTGGCCCCTGGGTACATTGGGGGCAGCTGGCAGCAGGCCAGAGTTGGGGGATACCCAGGTGGCATCACTATGGCAGGGTCCTGCTGAGGAAAGGGCAGGGGTGTCACAACTTCTTTGGGGGAGCAGGACTGAGGGGGAGGTGGCATGGCCTGCAGCTGGGGCCCACCATATGGATTGGGGGTTGTAGGGAAGGGTATGGAGACCTGATATCCACCAGCCTGGAAGGCCGCAGCACCACCAGGACTTGTAGGGGACTTAGGCGAGAGGACGAATGGCAGCCGGGACACGTCCACGTGTGGGGCAGGCCCGAGGAAGAGCGGTGGGGGCTTATGGGGCCCAGGGGGTGCGGAAAGGGTAGCCCGATCCTGGGGAATCCATATCTCCTCGGTAGTAGCTGGGTCCCACTGGTAAGGCGGGGGCCGCTTCACCGTAAGGCCAACTTCCCCCAGGGCCATGTGGCGCAGAGACTTCTCCAGCTGGCATTGCTGGCTGAGAGCCTCGTCCTCGGTGAAGGCTGAGTTGACGTAGTCCGTCCGGTCCCGGCTGCCATCCAGCGAACTCAGCAAGTTGTACGAGGACTGAGAGGTGAGAGGTGAGGCACTGCCAGAGTGCACCATTACCGTGCTGTGCTGAGCCGCAGCCCCTACTGGGAAGTCCTGTCGAATGATGGTCCCCCCGGTTATCCCGCTGCCCCCACCAACACTGGCTGCAGTCGCTCCTCCATTAGTGCCACCACTGCTGCATTGGCTACACGTGTACAAGGCTGTGGCGGTCCTTTGCTGGTAGGAGGCTGCTAGTGCACTGGCCTTGGACTTGGTAGGTAAGGTCCGTTGGGCCTCCATCATCTGGGAGGCCTTGATTACCACATCCCTCTCCCTGCCGTTTCGCCGCAGTGTAGCATGGATCAGGCTGCTGTCTATCCGCTGTATGGGGCTTCGCGCAGAACCTGTCTGATTGGCAGGATCGGGGTACGGGGGTGGGTCCCCGCTTGGAATTGAGTAGCGTGGCACTGTGAGCCGGTTGAGTGTGGCAGATGTATATGGGAGCTGCACCTTCTTACCTTCAGAGGAGGATGTGACCCTCAGGGTGGCAGAGCTGCCTGGGCCCTGCAGCGTGTACACGCTCTGGTTGCACACAAGCCTGGTGCGTGGCCGGCACACCTCTTCCACATTGCCGCTGCTGTCAAATGTGGTGATTCTCTCATAGCCCAGTGGAGTCTGGTACGGTGGGGCCGGTGGGTACAGTGAAAACTCGCTCTTCTTCAGGCAGAGGTCTACCGGCAGAGGTGAGGCACCAGCAGGAGAGGCTGCTGCTGCCACACCTGTAGGGTTGGTGGAGGCTGCTGCCATGGCGACAGCACCGGCTACTGTGCCTGGGTAGGGAGGAGGCGGATTCATCTTGCTGAGCTCCAGGGGGGCACTAAAAACCAAGGCATCGCCATCAGCGAGCTGCGGCACGGAGCGCAGCGGCTTGACCTTCAGCAGGTGTTCATGCTCCCCTCGATCTGTACTGTGGTCGCTGGAGGGGTGGGGCAGCTGCAACGTGCCCTGGAGCTGATGCAAAGAAGATGGGGGCTGGCTAGAAGGAAGTGGTGGGGGCAGCTGAATCTGAAGCTGTTGCATCTGCAGGTGGTGCTGCTGCAGTTGCTGTTGGTGCTGTTGCTGGATCTGCTGCTGCTGCTGTTGCATGTGCTGGATCTGCTGTTGGATTTGCAGCTGCTGCTGCTGGATCTGCTGATGCTGCTGCAGCAGCTGCTGTTGATTCTGCTGAAACTGTTGGTGCGTCTGCTGCTGTTGATGTTGCTGAGACTGAATCTGTTGCTGGGGTGGATGTTGCTGATGATGGTGCTGCAGCTGTTGAGTTATGTGTGGCTGCTGTTGGTGCTGGTGATGTTGATGCTGCAGTTGTTGATGCTGATGATGCTGCAGTTGTTGATGCTGCAGCTGTTGATGTAGATGTTGCTGCTGATGGTGGTGCTGATGTTGGTGTTGCTGATTTTGCTGATGTTGATGTTGCTGCTGAAGTTGGTGTTGATGCTGTTGCTGATGTTGGTGTGGATGTTGTTGCTGTTGATGCTGGTGCTGATGGTGATGCGGCTGATGATGCTGATGTTGATGTGAATGTTGCTGATGTTGCTGCTGTTGATGTTGCTGCTGTTGATGTTGCTGCTGTTGATGTTGCTGCTGTTGATGTTGTGGATGTTGCTGTTGCTGCTGCTGATGTTGTAGATGTTGCTGTTGCTGATGTTGTAGATGTTGTTGTTGCTGCAGTTGATGCTGTGGATGTTGCGGCTGCTGCAATTGATGTTGCGGATGTTGCGGCAGCTGCAATTGGTGTTGCGGATGTTGTGGCAGCTGCAATTGGTGTTGCGGATGTTGCGGCAGCTGCAATTGATGTTGCGGCAGCTGCAATTGATGTTGCGGCAGCTGTAATTGATGTTGCGGATGTTGCGGCTGCTGCAATTGATGTTGCGGATGTTGCGGCTGCTGCAATTGATGTTGCGGATGTTGCGGCTGCTGCAATTGATGTTGCGGATGTTGTTGCTGCTGCAGTTGATGTTGCGGATGTTGTTGTTGCTGCTGTTGATGTTGCGGATGTTGTTGTTGCTGCTGTTGATGTTGCGGATGTTGTTGTTGCTGCTGTTGATGATGTTGAGAATGTTGTTGCTGTTGCTGCTGCTGCTGCTGCTGCTGAGGTCCAACCAAGAGACGTCCCATCTCCAGACCCCCAAATATCACTTGCCCAGGACTGGAGTACCTCGTGGGCACTGAATACTGAGCTGTCAGTGCTGTGTCCTGATTGTGGTCTGAGACACCTGCCACACCTGCAGTCGCGGTAGGATTTGTCAAGATGTCAAGCTGAACGTTCTGATTGGCTAACAGAGACTGGACTAGGCCGATACTCTGTGTGGGTGACATGGCCTGGGCAGGGCTATGAATAGGGGCAATAGGGATGTTAACGGTGCATGGGGGGTTGTCATCTGCCACGCCAGAAGGCCCCGTCACTGGAAAAATAAATTCAACACCATTATAAGCAAAATGGGCTCTTAAGTCATATCTACTTTATTACTACTTGTATTGCAGTTGCTGCTTTACACAAAGCACAAATAATATGTGGATTTTAGACCCTCACAATTAATGAAAATGTACTATTTACCATCATGCCTAAATATCAGCGGTTCAGTAATATAAGCCAACTGGCAGGGACTTCATACCTGGCAGATCATCCTCATCCTCACTGAAGACATTGGGGCTAAAAACAGGCAGGTTGATGTAGTCCATGGAGATCTTGCGCACCTCCGGTAGGTAGATGGTCATCTGCCGGGGTTGGAGGTGGAGCAGGCTTGTCTTGTAGATGACTGAATGGCACAGAGGATATTGTCAGATGTTTGTATAATTCACAGCCCACAGGTAACAATCATTACTGCGACAAATGCAAAGAACTTGAAATTATATCAATGGCTATTTGATCAAAGCAGAGATCACCAAGGCTATATGCCTCAGTGCCAGGGGCGCCTTAATGCATGGGCTTACCCAAACTGAGGCCCAGGGGCCTCCACTAAAAAGTAATACAAAAATAAAAAAATTATTTTATATGTAAAGTTGCCACCTGTCATCCCCTATTGAACAATAAAATGTTGTGTCCCACTTTGAACCAATATAGAATGTGATGTCCTGTATTTTCATATCCAGACCGTGCGACCGATCCCCCCTAACATTTTAAAAAATCTAATGGTCCACCCCACCCTTAATATGAGCTTTAGTCACAACCCCTGTGGCACAGTGCGGACACGGATTTCTGGTCGCACCCCGCAACAGCTTGTGCGAGTGTTGTGCGGTGCTCGTAGATTTACCTGCTCCTAGGTTTGTGGGCAGGAAGGAGGCCAACCCCACAATCTTAAACTTCGTTCCCCAGATGTTGGATGTGACCTGAGCAAGGTAATTATGCTGCAAAGCAAAGAAGTTCCCATAGGTACAGATCGTAGCCTTGGTGGTAAAACACGTGTCCATAACAATTCCCACCCTAAGCCCCCTTGGCAACAGGCAAAAGTTTCAATAAATACTGAAAATAGGAGGAATAAGGAAATAAGTAAAACAGGCAAGGCTGGGACCGGATGGAGATGCCCTCAACCCAGCAGGCATGCAGAGAGGCAGTACCTGAATGATGTCATCCAGTGGGAACTCCCTGCGTGTCAGACTAGGAGAGCCAATCGAGGGCTTCCGAATCGGTAACCGTGGTGAGCGGGATATTTCCTGTGTCGCTCGGGAAAGCTTAGGAGATTTTCTCGGGTCAATATTGATCCTGTTGGTAAAGGGACAGACTAAGTCTCTACAGAGAGAATAATTAATATAAACATCGGTCTGCAAAAGCATGCATCAATCAAAATGCATAACAGTTCATAGTAAATTATTAATTATGGGAACATTTTGGACTGTGGGGGCGGGGTGGGGGGGGGGACTGGAGTATCCGGAGGAAAGACGTGACGACACAGGGAGAACTTGCAAACTCCACATACATGGAACCCTGGTGGAGACTCGAACCCTGGTCCCAGAGGTGTGAAACAACAGAGCTAACCACTGCACCACCATGCCACCCCAAGCTGTATTTCCCTTCCCCAAGCAAAATGAGAATGGCAGAAAATAGTTCTTGAAGAAAAAAAAAAACGTTCTTGCCTGGGTAGCTTAGGCGACTTGCTTCCTCTGGAAATCTTTGGTGACTTCTTTCCGACCCAGTCATCACTCAGCTCGATGTCGCTGGAGTCGGAGCAGTTGCAGCTGTCGATCATGGAGGAGATGAAGCTGTTTCCATATACCTCGTCTGAAAAACAGACAGCCCAGTGTGATTAGGAGGAGCCTTATAAGGACACTCATAGCCGCAGTTCCCCAAGCCAACAGCAGGGGGCAGGGTGGCCTATTTCAGAAGAGACACCCATCCATCTGAAGCATGAACCATGCTGGGGTGAAAAACTAACTGCACATCCCAGGGGGGACCCAACAAGGCCACCACAATGTTCCGGTTTAGGCCCCAAAACATGAAAGGGGGCTCACCCGCCCTGCCGTCGGTCTTGGGGTCCATGATGACGAACTCGGGCCTCAGCTTGCTGATTCGCCGGCCCTTGAGGACGGGCACCAGGCCGCCCAGGTACTCCAGGTAGAGGGTGTAGCAGGGCCCGCCTACCTCGGGGTTATCCTCCGTACGTTTCATGGTGCAGTGCAGCCGCTCATTACCCGTCGTGGGATAACTGACGAAGTCGCGCATGTTGTTGGGGTCCGGAATGGGCGGCTGCGTTGGCGGGGCGGGGCGGGGGTGCAGGGTCAGAAGCAAATCGTGGGGTATGTGAGGTAGTTCACAGCAGAGTTACTAGAGTTAACAAAAACTAAAACTATAATAAAACATTTTCGTAAACTGAACCGAAGTAACATACGAAAATAACATTTAAAAATACAACCAAGTGAAAACTATAAATTACGCAGCACCTGAAGGGACCTGTGCAAAAAAATAAAATGCAAGTCGTGAGTACGCGAAAGTGAGATTATCTTGCCCACAAGTCATGCACACGAGAATTTTTTTTGCACGGGAACCTTTAAGGGCTCCGTAATAAATACTGCTTCCAAAACTAACGGAAATGAAATAAAAACAAACGCCAAATAATTTCCGTTACCATTGTTATTATTATTTTGCTAAAGTAATGATTTGTTTATTTTTGATTATCATTAATAATACCTGGAAAATGTTTTGCCGATCTTGGGGACATTAGCACATAATGTGCACTATGCATTCATGCAGGATTCTCTAAAGATCAGACATATAAATTAGCTAAAATACTAAAACTTAATCTGAATCTAAAATACATAAAAACAAAAGAGGAACATATATTTAAAAATAAAACTTGTAAAATCACACTGAATCGAAACTGTATTTCAAATGAAAATGGGAAATAATATCAAATTAAACACTAAACTAAAAAAACAAAACTATAACACCACCGACCAACGGGAGTATATGGTAACTGGGTATTTAAAGGGAAAGTCCCGCTTAATGTGTTGGCAGTATGAGTCAACATGAGATTTCACGCCAGCATCTGGCCAGCATGTGGTCGGCGTTTGGTCGGTTTGCGGTCACTGCGCAGCAGACCTGCGCTCCAGTGCCGGACCTCACCTTGATGGTGGGGGCAAAGGCCGCCGAGACAAAGGCGCAGAGTCGCGCCGGCACGGTCAGTTTGCCGACGTCCTTCTCGTCCCGTAGGGCGCTGGCGATGCCCTGCTGGCACAGTAGCTGCAGGCTGGCCGCCCGGTGCTCCACCCGCACCACGTGCAGCGCCGGCCCACACGCCAGGAAGAGCCGCGAGTCCCGGTGGCCCCAGCACAGGGTGCTGATGGGCCGCTGGAGAGGGTAGGAGCACATGGGGTTAAGTTCCAGCTGTACTTACATCCCTTGGTCTGGGTTTCTACAGTGTGTTGCCTGCTAAGAGTCACCGACTCCAGGACCCCAAGGCTACGGCATCGTCAAACTGCTTATACAGATAAGCTTGACGCGGATGTTTTTAAATTAGCCACATCAGCTAAATCATGTGGATGACAGTTCACATGGGATAAGGAGCCCACCTGAGCTGGCGTCTCCAGCGTGTAGATGTGCTCTCCGTGGATGTTGTAGAACTTCACGAGGGCGTTCCTGGGCAATGGAGGGGCGCACGTGGGGTCGGAGGTCAGGCCGTGCCTCTCCATGCCGGCCACCGCCAGCAGGTCCCCTTGGGAGCACCACTGTGCCACGACGTCTGCGTGCCGACAGAGAGGTTAGGAGCCGCCCCCCAGGAGTCGGGTACCCTGACACGCCTGGCCCAGTGGCCGGCCCACCTACCCTTGAGCCCCGAGCGGATGATGGCGGGGGAGAGGTCGTCGTAGTTGTTCATCAGGCTGATGTCCCCAGATGTGAAGCTGACAGTCAGCAGAGGCTTTAGGTGGTGCACTGCAAAGAGGCATTTTAATTCTATTATGGGGTCATCCGAGAGATTATCGTCATACTGAAAAATAATGAAGACTATCAAGTCGGGATTTTCCACCCTGCTATGAAGTCCGACTCGGATCAGCAAGCTAGGGGGAAAAGACAGGACAAGCACAGGCTTCTGTTGGCAAACACCGCGACTTAGCATCATGCGGCGTTTCCTCTTCTCGCTCTTTTCAGCACAGTAACCTTTTGTGGTTCCAAAACAAAAGTTTATTCAAGCTGTCAAGCTGAAGGCATCTGGGAGTCTTTGGGTTTTCACTACTGCCTTTCCAAGCAAGCTAACCTTGGACTACTGCTGTCAGCGGGCAGACGGGCCCACGTCAGCCAGCCTTGCCGGCGAACTTTCAACCGCGGCCGGAGGGGAAATCCTCTGTGAATTCGCTTTTGTTCCTGGTGCTGATATGCTCACATGGTTGCAGCCAGTTCAGAGTAGACCAACTAACCAGACAATGCTACTCGACGACTACTAATTATAGGCTGCTAGCTGAACAATGCTAAGCAGAGGACGCTATCCAGAGGATGCTAACTGGATGATGCTAACAGAGAACTTCTATTCAGAGGCTGCTAACTGAAGGCTGTTAATCAGAGGCTGTTAAGTGGATGATGCTATCTGGAAGTTGCTATTCAGAGGCTATTAACTGAGCAATGCTAACCCGAGGACACTAACTAGAGGATGCTAATCAAAGGCCGCTAACTGGATGATGCTAGTCAGAGGCTGCTAAACAGACAATGCTAACCAGACACTGACTGAACAATGGCAACTGGAGGCCCCTAAATGAACATTGCTAATCAGAGGCTGCAAAATGAACAATGCCAACCGGAGGCTGCTAATCAGAGGCTGCTAATCAGAGGCTGCAAAATGAACAATGCCAACTGGAGGCTGCTAACCAGTGTCCACTAATTGGATGATGCTGACCGGAGGTTGCCGATTGAATGATGTTATCCAAAAGCTGCTATTCAGAAGCTGCTAATCAGATAGCTTATTACCAAGAACACCATATGTAAGCCAGGCTCACAGCACAGGCCAGCTCCGCACATGCCTAGTCAGAGATGCTCATGAGTCACAAAATTAGAGTCCGAGTCAAGTCTCCATCGTGGTTTCAATTTGACCTTACTATTTACTAAAATTTAACCTCCTATTTGCTTTTTTTTTCTATTAGTAACTGATGCGACTAAATGACAATCACCACGTGAACAGTCCAAAAACTCTCAAAAAACATCATGATGAAGACATAACTTGAGCAGAACAGGTAAACTTTAATGTGTGACCACGCACACTCACACACACACCAATGTCGCTATATAACAACACAATGCAGGCAACGACTATTTCTAAGGGGTAGCAATCTAATGTACTCAGGGCTGTGCTTGGTTACCTTGGGGCAGAACATAATCATCCGAGTCGGTGTCGCTCTCGTTGCTGTCCTCCACCAGGAAGTTGGGGTAGTTCCAGGACATGCCGACGATCCCGTCCGACTCGTGTAGAAGAATGTGGGCCAGCATGCGGCCATGGCAGTCCATGACGATCACCTGGCCATCTGCCGTGCCGAACAGCACCTGCGGGAACGGACATCGACTGTTCTCTGTAGCGCCCAAGCTGCCCAGAACTTTCTGACACCCCCATCAAGTACCCATCCTTAACATTTTAGCTTGGCATGTGAGAGACAGAAGTGTGCAAACATTAATTAGTCAAAGCACCAATTAGTAAACTTGAGGCCTTAAAAAACCAGCCAGTCTCACTACCTCTGTCGGAAAAATTAATTTCACATGCAAGGGTCAATAACGACTCTGTTCACATACCCACGACAAACATGGTTTAAATATCGTCTCAGATATTTCTCTCCTTAAACACTGTAATAAAACATGTATTTGTTAAATTTTTCCACAAGTTTTAGGGTTCAGATTTTGCACTTGGTTGCAAGCTGAACATTTTCTCTGTAACAGGCTTCATGTTACAGGTCTTAATGCGCCTTAAGCTAATGAAACAGATTTGAAGGCCCTTAGGACCATGTTCCTCGGGGGGGGGGCATGGTGGTGCAAAGGCATGGTGGTGCAGGGTTAGTACAGTTGCCTCACAGTGTTGGGACCAGGGCTTGAGTCTCCACCCTGGTTCATCATTGTGAGGTTTCTTCCAGGGTCTCCAGTTTCCCTCCACAGTCCAAAAACGTACTAAGGTAAACTGCACTGCCCCCCTACTTTGGCTAATGGTTAATGCACTTTTTATTCCCCCCCCACCCCTCCTGGGGTGTGCTGCCCAGCACCAGCACCCACCTCCCAGCACCCGCCTCCCAGTACCTGCCTCCCAGCACCCGCCTGCCCTCCGTATTGAGACTCAAATGCTAAAATATGGACCCTGCGCGTTACGACTTTGCCATCTTGTTCATTTGACTTCCTCTGCTGGCCCATGGAGGATGAGCTCCTTCTTTACGTCTCGAGGTTTCGTCCTTCTAGGGTGTTTTTCTTAGCCACTGTCACCTCTGGCTTTCTCACTAAGGGCATGGGGCAGGGATGATGTAAGGCACTTTGAGACAATGTAAATGCACTACACAAATAAAACTGAACTGAATTGAGCTAAATCAGAGTTGTCACATTATGCATAGGTGTGAATGGTGTTTGTGCCCTGCGATGGGTTGGTGCCCCATCCTGGGTGGTTCACTGCTTTGTGCCCGTAGGCTCCGGACCCCCGCGGACCCCCGCGATGGATGCGTTCTCAAGGACGGTCTTTAGCTGGCGACTGACTTTACGTGATACAGGGTGACGTGTCCTGTGGACCAGTCCAGTGCACATGATGCTTTTGTCCAAAGTTACGTACAAGTGAGAAAAGCGCGGGATCAGACGGTCAGCCAGTGACCCTGGAGCAGCAGAGGTTAAGGTCCTGCTACGTTAATTTTGCCAGCCACAGGATTCAAACCCACCACCTGGGCGGGCCGTACCTGCTGGTCGTCGGGCGTCCAGATGCCGCACGTGATCTGGCTCTCCAGGTTGATCTCAGAGGACCAGTGTCTCTGGCCACTGACCGAGCCCACCAGCACGAAGCCGTCCCGGTAGGAGATGAGGGCCTGCGTGCCGTCGTGGGACCAGGTAAAGTCACTAACCTGAGGGGGCAGAGATGAAATGTTCACGTGCTGGAACTGGTAGTCTGGACAAGCTCCGTTTCGGGCCTCACGATTAAAACCCAATCTGAGGCGAGCAGAGCCCTTACCTGAGCTCCACGGTCATTCACCAGCTCGACCGACCAGCGGCCCTCATACTGGATCCACACAAATATACCGCCGTCTGTGTCACACGTGGCCAGCTTCTGAAAGGGCTCGTTCCAGCGCACCAGCACCACCTGCGATGGAAAAGCAATCCCCGTTAAGACAACCACACCCCTCAGCCGAGCAGCAAGCAGAAGATCCCACCCACCTACCAATCATAGTCCTTCAAGACTGTGGCCACACCCTCTTGAAGCATAACCATACCCCTAATCATGTTAACTAAACCTTTCTAACCTACATGAATGACAGATACACAGCTAAAAAAATCTTAGTATCTTAATTAATCAAGCTTTATTTTGTTACTGTCTGATCCATTTGGGCAGAACAGGGAACTCTGATGTGATGTCAAAGTCTGAGATGTGGTTGGACCTCTGATGAAAGGCTCAAGCTGTACGGCAGCAAGTAGCTGGTTAAATCAACCGTGCCAGCAAGACCTGAAACCTGAGGAGATCCAACTGGGACCCCAGGCGAGAAACTCAACCTGACTTACTTCGTTGAGAACATCCGGCAGCGTAAATATCGCAGAAGTCGAAGTTCAGGAGGACACTAAGAATAGACACTAAGAATAGATGCTGATGCACCCCTCGGAGAGCAGAAGCACTCAGTCGATCTCCTGTATGCTTGGACAGTTTGAGTCAAGGGTCTTGACCACACAGTGGGCCAAACTACTGAAGCGATCTGAGGGGGGGAGCTCCCAGATGCCATGTGACGCAGCGCCCAGTGGGCCCCCTCCATGCCTTCTTGTGGTCACTGCACCAATAAGCAGCCACAGAAGCAGACTTACAGGGGGAGGATGGGGACAGGCCCAGTGTTAGCAGTCACAGGTCAAAAATTTAATTTAGCTCATTTACTACCTGGTCCGAAAATACCCAGCTCTGGTGCTTGTCGTCCTGCTACGGGCATCACATAGAACGGTCAGGCCACTGGGGAACCACAGCCTTCCGCTCAAAGTAAAAGCAGTTAAGCCATCAGGGAACCACAGCCATCCCCTTAGAGTAAGAGCGGTCAGGCCACTGGGGAACCACAGCCATCTGCTCAGAGTAAGAGAGGTCAGGCCACTGGGGAACCACAGCCTTACGCTTAGAGTAAAAGCAGTTAAGCCATCGGGGAACCACAGCCATCCCCTCAGAGTGGCCATAGCCATGTTCTAAGTGACCTCACTGTGTGCTCATCTATGACCAATAAACTCTAGACACACCATGACCAGTACATTTTACTACACTGTCCAAATAAAGTCAAATGGGGGTATGGAACATACATGAATGTCTATTTTTTCCATTTAAGATGGCTTTGCCTTGTTACATTAAAATTTCTGTTAACAAAATGTCATTATTATTATTCTACCACCATTTTAACCAGTCCGTAACCTGTATAAATAACTCCAGTTCAGTTGCTTCACTTTAGCAGAAACTCTGATGTAGAGCTTTAGGTCTGGCTGACACGCATGCATGCTCGCACACACACCATGAGCCGCTGTGGTTTAACAGGCTTAGGGTTTATTTAAAGGGCGCTCACTTCCGCCTGATCCAGTGGCAGAAACAGAGAGTCAGTGTCCCAGTGATGCAGAGGGAACAGTGTCATGCACTGTAGCAGGGGACAGAACTTGTATGTAAACAAATGGACACTGAATTTCCCCTTAAGAGATATTACTGCACCAAAGGAGGAAAAAACATGCTGATCTCAGAAGCATCTGGTTCATCGACAAAATTAAAGGGCACATTGACCTGGACTGTGGAAAGTAAGAAACGCAAAGATGTTTTAAGATGCTTCTATTTGACATTCCGCGTATTTAAATAGCGCAAAGGAGGGACGGGGTATGAGCCACACTTTTAGGAACCTGCATCATTACCCGCAAGGGGAAGGGGGGCAGCTACGAGAGCTTCAGCGCGTTAGGGGCCGAGCCATCCATGCCATCTCCGGGGTCCTGCCCGGTTACGGCCAGCATCTGCGTGACAACCAGCGGACTGCCGCCAGTGCATCGGGGACGATGATGTAAACCAGAGCCTCAGGCCGGCATCTGCAGTGAGGCCAGAAGAAGCCAAAGGGGGAGGTAGACTACCTGCCCCCCCACCCCCACCCCCACCCCCAGTGAGGCTGCAGATACAGAATGCTCTCCATTCGCAGGACAGGGACATCTCTCAGACAGAGAAGGCCTGGCAGGGGGCGAAACCCAGAAACACGGAATTCATAATGCAGGCACATGCCTTGGCTGACCTGCCCCCGGAACCTGCCTGTCCTACTCCTCTTGCAGCTAATCAGCAGCTGCAATCAGACAAGCCAATCAGATAAGGCCAAACCCTCACACTTCAACTGATTTTTAAGTGGCACGGAAAGATTAACAGCATTGTTTTGCATATGAACGTACAACCTGCATGACTTCTGCGTCCGAAATGACATTTACATACCAGCTGGGCGATATAATCACACACACGCACAAACTCCACATAATCATATCTTTATGGGGACCATCCATTCATTTCTACGGGCAAAACCTTAATCCCAGCCATAACAACCTTAACCCCTACCCAGTCCTAATTTTAACCTTAAGTAACCAAATAAAATGCAAGACATTTGGCTTTTTAGTTTTTTGATTGTAGTCACCGGTTTTAATGAATTGAGGTTATCCTTATAGTAAATATCCCCCAAGTTAAAAGTAACAGCTTTTTATCATCCTGTGTTATCATCTCGTCCCCATGTAATAACACACACACACACACACACACACACAGATAAATTACTTTGATTATTAGAAGTGAATAGAACTGATTTTTATTAAGTTATTAGAGTAGCATAGAGATTAATTACTGAAAAAGGAATGGCATTCATTTTAATTATAATCCAGTGCTGGTTAAATTCCCATCCAGAGGGGACCAGAACCCAGGGAACAGCACTCCAGCAAGAAGATGCCCCCAGATGGACCCTTCCCCTGCCTCGGTGGCCCGCCGCCATTGCGGTCGGCCTGCAATAGCACGCGGGCTAAGATGCGGGTCCCACAGGCGCCTTCCATCAGCCCGCCAATTCTGGCAAGCTTGTGAGAGCAAAGCTCTGATCGCGCACGGCAAGACACCGCGAGGAGCCCCAGGCAGTCCGGCGGACTCTACATGCGAGGATGGGCAGCGGCACCCTGAAGGGACAGCTGCAAATGGACTGCAGGGAGAAAACGGTCATCCATCCATCCATCCATCCATCCACATTACCCCTGCTTATCCAGCATGGGGTCATCTAGGGTAGTCCTCATGTTAACCCTAATTCATCCATGCATGTACTGTATCCAACCTGATCAGGGTCACGGGGGAAGGGGATCTGGGGTCTCTAACCCAAATTCAAAACCCTCGTAAGCCGTCCACACCCCCACGTTTATTAAGCAGATACAATAAGGGCGGAGTGACTGTTGCTAACCTAAGCAGTTTCATTCGCGAAAACATGGTGAGGCAAATGGAGCGTTTAGAAGGCAGAAGGATTCATGGGCGAAAAGCGACCGGATGCGATCTCCGTGTGCAGCCCAAGAGAGGGACGCTTTTCAGCAGGCACCGTGCCACCCCAGCGCATGTCAGCTTCAACAGGCACCGTGCCACCCCTGCGCATGTCAGCTTCAACAGGCACCGAGCCACCCCAGCATATGTCAGCTTCAACAGGCACCGTGCCACCCCTGCGCATGTCAGCTTCAACAGGCACCGAGCCACCCCAGCGCATGTCAACTTCAACAGGCACCGTGCCACCCCAGCGCATGTCAGCTTCAACAGGCACCGAGCCACCCCTGCGCATGTCAGCTTCAACAGGCACCGAGCCACCCCAGCGTATGTCAGCTTCAA